TGGTTGTTCATAAAATCCACGTGTGAGAGGTTTGACACCTCCCCCTCCACCCCCACTTTTCTCACATCAGGTAGGATTCCAAAAGGTGGAGCTAGTTACGCCTTGGAAAGCGGTCTCACAATATTTTTTTTGGGTTTTCTTTTCCTCTTCTGCCTTGGAAAGAGGAAAGCCCCATTAATGTTTTGAATTTTTTACTTTTTCTCTTCTTCTCCTTCTCCGATTACTCTGTTTTTCCATTTCCTCTTCTTCTGTTGCTCTGTAAATTTCCACAGCAACCTCTCTCGCTTCTTCTCTGAGCTTCTTTCTGCTTCCAAGGCGCTCGCTCTGTCTCTCTCTCTTCTAGCCGCCAAACAACTTCCAGTTCTGCCCCATCAACTCTATTAATTCCACCATGAAACTCTGCACATTCTGCAACTCCATCCAAAACCCATCTCTAAAGTTCCAATCTTTTCTCTTACTCTTTTCAGCCACTCTCCTCATTTACTTCACCGAATCCAAACTCCAAACTCCACTCATTCTACCCCTCAGAACCCAACAAATTCCATCTGGGTCCCTCCCAAAGTCCCCAAACAAGACTCCTTTCCACCACAATGTCACCCTCACAGTCACCGTCGCAGTCGGAACTCCGCCGCAGAACGTTTCAATGGTCATCGACACCGGAAGCGAGCTTTCCTGGCTTCATTGCAACAAAACCCAGGACTATAACAACACATTCGATCCGACCCAGTCCACCTCCTACTCCCCCGTCCCATGCTTCTCATCCACCTGCAAGAACTGGACAGACCTTGCTGATTTATGAAACGGTTTTGAGTTAATCGCGGCGGAGCACCGCCGCCTAGCGCCCAGGCGCCGCCTAGGCGGCCGCCTCAACCGTTTTTTAGAACACTGCGTGAGCCTACTGATGTTCTAGTTAGAAGATGCGACTATGAGATGAAGCTCAGGACAAAAAGGGTAGAGGAAGACCTAGGAAGACTTGAAAAGAGACTTAAGGAAAGATATAGAGTACTTGGAACTAGTGGAAGCCATGACACAAAACCAGGGCAATGAAGCTCTAGGATTCGTACAGTCGAACCAACTTAGTGGAATAAGGCTTGATTGTTGTTGTTCTTGTTGTTGTTGGTACGTAGTACTGAGTGATATAAAAAATGAATCAATGAGATTGAAAGTAGAAGATAATAGTTGTGATTAAAACACTCGTAGCACTGATAACTTAGCATATAGTTCAAATGCTTACAAAAACACCACAAATTTCTCATATTTTCTCTTTTTGAATTTGTGTTTAAATCAAAGAACATATAAAGGAGAGCAAGAATTGACAACTCTGGAACTTGAAGTGGAGCAAAATCCAAAGCTTTTATCCCTTTGACTAGGAGTTTTGCTTCCACAAAAGAGGCATACTGTGCTCAAAAAGTCATATTTTTCTGTTCAATAACGAAAATACTAGAACAACGTCGGGCACTTTACTCTCTACCGTTATCTTTTTCCTTGTTCTTTAACAACTTTTCATTATGAGTTATGCAAACCAAGGATTTCCATCCCAACAAAGCACTGAGTAAATATGACTACCTAGACACCAGACACCATCATGTAAAGTGGACATATAAATATGCAATCTTCACTGAAAACATGAATTCTTACATCAATCATGTTACAAACTTACAAACTACTGTCAGGTAGAATTCTTACCACATAACGATATGGGTAATGCTAAGGAGAGCATATTTTTTGAACCATTTTATGTGTCAGCAGAATCTTTCATAGGAGAATGTATATTCTCTTACCTTCTATTAGTTTCTCTGACGCTCTGCGCGTGGTCCCGGCGACTACACGTTTACTCACCGAATTGCGGCAGTGAGTGTGCCACTGCATTTGTCGTCGACGGTGCGCTCGTCGGTGGCAACGATGGCAACGTGTCCACTGGTGATAAAACGGCGCATGACGCCACTATGGTAGCACGTGGCTCCAGCGACTGTGACGTCTACTCGCCGAACCGCGATGGTGAGTATGACAGAACATTTGCCGCCGACGGCGCGTTAGCTGGCGGCAACAATGGCGACGCATGCAAGACCGAGACCTAACCTTAGGTTATTCAACATTGTGAATCACATGACACCCTCCGTTCGTGCAAAATCAATGTTGAAATAGTACTTTTGGATGTTAAATTAGAGGAAAGTTAAAAAGTGCTTATATAAGCTACATTAGGTACAAGTTCGGATAAATTGGACAAAGGCAAGGAGCCTAATGAGGAAACACGCACGGGCTACCTATGAGTGGATTCCTTCAAAACTTACGTTTTTTATTAAACTATATTTTTTAAATGAATGATTTGAGCTAGCCTTTGATGAGACTTAAGTAGTGAGTTTACTTGATTGTGGCCAGGGGAGGGTGAAATGGCTATGTGAGTCTTCCCGGCTCCGAAAGAGGTGGATAACCATAGCTTGCCACTTGTTGTCTCCTTTTTTTTTTTTTTTTAAATGTTAATGTTGATATTATAGTTAATCTAATAACTTTGGTGATTTATTTGTTTTTCACCACATGGTTATCATGCACTTCGTATAGCTATCTCCGGCCGTAGTCCGTAGGATTAATTAATTGCAAGTGTCGATATTTCTAGTAGTGGCTAGCTCTTGCGTAGGTAGATGCCGTTTCACTTGCTCGCTATACTATACTAGTATATGCTAGTTTTGTGATTGATTGTAGATATGATCTTTGAATTGTTTCGATGTGATTGTTTGATGATTTGATATGAATTGATTAACTTGGAATAATGATATTGTTTGACTATATATATTATAGTAGATACTATTATGTAGTTTTAAACTACATACATTTTTCAAACGAGGGTTAGTATCTTCAAAATGATTTTGACTAGATAAATGATTATGATCCACTTACACTTTATTTTTCGACCCCTCAGGACATAGTGAGACCAAGGAGGTTTTGAGGCAGATGAGTGGGCTTGGCAGTGATACTATTCGGTACTATGTGGGGTGATTTTACTTAATGTTATTTATCTAGTTGTAATAATGGCACAATTTTGATTATGCCAAGCGCTACATTTTAATTTGTGTTATCTATTGTATGCACTGCTATGAGTGATGAGTCGATAATATACTATATAGTTTACACTAATCTTAGTATTAATTTATTAGTTATTTTGTGGGAAATTTGATACTTTGACTTACATTTCCAATGTAGGCCATTCGACCTCTTCTTGAGTAAAAATTGATCAAATTGATGAATTTTGGAGTGATTCGAATTGGAGGATGTTCGTGTGCCTTTCAACCTAATTGTATCAAAGTTTTAGAATTTTATACCAAGCAGATAATTTATAGGGATGAAATAAAGAAGTAGCGTGTAGTGTTGCTAAACTGACATTTTGGGCTTATTTGGGCTTTTTGGCGTCCAAGATGATGTTTTTTGGGTTCGAGGCCTTTTGCAATTATGTTCAGGACATCTCAAACTTTAATTCTAGCCATTTTGGCTCTGTTTTGGAGTTCTGAAGGTACAGAAACGTGGGTGATTTGTGGCTGGGCAGATTTCCCATATTTGATTAGGATTATGTTTCCTATTTTCCCTTAAGTTATTATGTTTCCTAGTTTCACTTAAGTTATTATGTTTCCTAGTTTTTAGAAGACCTTTTCTAGTAAGAATTTTATTTTGTAATAGTATAAATAAGGCTTTTTTTAGCCATTAGGGTTGAGAGGAGAGAATGCACACACTAATTTGGAGAATTGCTTTTGACGATTCAAGTTTATTTTCAAGGTGTTTTCTATCCATGTTCTTAATAATATTTTGTTTTATGATTGTTCGTAACTAGTTTCGTTTGCTAGGGCGAGGCCACGAGCCTTAGCAAGAATATGTAGTTTCTTTTCAATTTACTTATGATATTATGCATGCAGGTTTTGAATTTTTGATCACCGTGTTTGAAACTATCTACTTGTCTGGATGATTGGCCACCATTAAGATATTTAGAAAAGTAATTTGATGTAATTTTGGCAAAGGGTTGTCCCTAAAATTGACTAAGGCTTCTTGTGGTTAATATGTATAACTTCTTAGGATGGATGACACATCTTAAGGGTTACATGGTTTTTCAAAAGGTTTTCACAAAATTTAATGACTATTGCATGTTCACATTTGATCTGGACACCACAGACAGGTTGCATGTTAGATATTGTTCTATGTTGGAGGTTCCAAGTAGGATATACTTTAGGAAAACCTAACCTTCAAAATATGCAAGGATAATTCATAAGTAATTGGAAGAACTACGTAAGATTGTTAAGGTGACAGCGGAACCCTAGTGCTTAAATAGATTTTCAAAACTATTTTCTTTTGTTTTCTTTACCTTCCCATTTATTTAATTATTTTTTAATATTTTAGTTCATAAAATCAACCTTTTTCAAACTTTGTTTTCAAATAATTAATTAAGATTTGGTATGTACATAAATTATTCATTCAATTCATGTGGAGAATGACTTTGCTAGAGCCGACTATATTATAATTACCTTGTACTGTTGCAAGTATTTTAAATGTTTTTATCCTTACTTTTGCGGTTGGTAAAAATCCTATCAATGAGCTATGAACTCGATGTGTAATAAGGGATTGGGGAGGTTGTTTAGGATTTGCAGGACAGTTTGAATTACTTAATAAAAGGACCTTTTTGGTTTAAATTTGTTCGTATCATAATTTCTTTACAATGGCTTTCGTCATTAAGTTGATGTTTCGTCATTTTAGGGTGAGGTTATATTGTCAACTAAGCATGGGCCAACACATCACAGCCTTTAAGCTAGTTGGTTATTGGGTCCTTATGTCACATGAGTAAATGTAAGAGTGACATGAGTCCAACCAAAACAGGGGTTTTATTTGAAGAAAAAAAGAAAAAAAAAAGGAGTTAATGTTACCGTCCTCGGCGCCGGAAAACATCCGATCAGTTCTGGTCGTTGGTGGATTAGAGGGAAGAGGGAGGAGGGAGCGGAGAGCGAGTTGCACACGAAAGCAGGTTGATCTCCAACATTAGATAGATTATTCAAACAAGAGTACAAACAGTCTTCGTGGTGAATAAATAACCCTTCATATACACGAATTGATATAAATGACAGAAGATGTGTACACTTCATACATTACACACAATCAATGCAACAAGTCGCTGCGATTTACACAAACAAAACATGCACATACTTGAGAGGTCCTCCTATCAATTAGGACACTCACCAGAAAACTCAGGATTGAACATAAATGTCCGTATGCTGTCCATTTAGGTTGGCCGGATCGAACTTGTTTATCTCGTCCACTTTCCTATTCTCATCAATGAAACTAGCAAACAGCATTGCCATTTTGGATGTTGATCTGACCCTCGCTTTTCAGGGAACCAACATAAGCGGTGCCTTCTTTGTAACTACCCATACTGTGATGATTTCCTTTCATTCTGTCTCCTCGGGATACTTCGGATGTGCTGCTGCAGCTCATCCTCCGGCCAAGCTTTGGTGATTTTGCACGAGTTGGTGGCAGCTGGCATACAGACAAAGCAAAAATTTTAAAACTTGAGCTGTAATTTACATTTATATAAAATAATGTTTATGTATTTGTCACACTTCGTACAATGTAATACTATTCTATCTGTGGTTTCAAATAGCGTAACAGAATCTCATGCAGGGTAGAACCAGATAAAGTCACTGTATAACCTTTGTAAGTTCAGTTTTAGGTGGAGGTCCCTCATGATAGAAGCTTGGCATCGGGTTTGCCTTAAATGCTAAACTCTTTCTCAGTTGCTTGATAGCTGCCTCCTCCTCTTCCTTGAAATTCCAAGATTATGAAGCAGACAAAGGTAAAGAAAAATCAAGTAAGAAGGACCGAGCTGAACTAAAAGACATGAACAGACTAAAAAAAGTTAAGAAACAATGGAACAACAGACACCATCTGTTCAATGTTTTGGTGTGTGTGTGTGTTGGGGGGGGGGGGGGGGGAGAGAGAGAGAGAGAGAGAGTAAAACCTTGGTCCTTGCATCACGTTTAGTTGTTTGCACCTCCAGTGCTTGGTGCTTCTCCTCTAACCTTGAATAAAACTAGATATGGCAACAATAATAAGGGTGCACAGTCAATGCTTAGGGACTACTCATCGGAGTAATTAAATTTAACTCCACATAATAAAAAACTGTGAAGGCACTACCTCCTTCCTTTTCTTCGCACGCTCAGTGCATCTTAACGTTGGAGCAGATGCAACAGTTTCTCTGAACCTAAGAGTTCGTGCAGATGCTACTGTGCTATGCATGTTAAAGGAATAGAACTCAAATTCCGATTAGAAGTGAGTAGTAGGAAGAAGATGAAAAGACAAAAGAATCAAGCTAGGACTTCAAAATGTAGAAAAGGATACATGGAAGCTACAGAACAGGAATCTTCCTCATCAGAATGCTTCTTCTTATCTGGTTGCAATGGCTTCCTTCGTACCAACGGTGATATTGGCTGCAAAGACATAGATGTCATAAAAAACTTTTGCAACTACAACAGAGACTACACATGCAATCAAGCCAAGGAAAGACATGACAAAATGTTTTTGTCAACGTTCAAAAGAATAAAAATAACCAACAGAATTTTAAAACAACCTATATCTAGGCTTTGGTTAGCAGGAGCTACCTGGTTATGCTTTGTGGTATTAAAATGTCGCAGATCGCTTGTATTGGATAATTTATAAACACCATTACCGCAATTAAGAGCAACACTGACTAGACGAGTTCCACATGAAGCACGCTTTTCTGTAGCTAAGGTAAATGGCTGTGGAACAGTGTGTTTTGTTCCAGCATTTCCAGCAGCAGGTTTTGATGCATGTTTTACAGATGCAAGTGACGTACTAGTAACCTTTGTTTTCCCGGAATCCAGTTGAACCTTCTCCACAGTCTGGTGAGAAAGACCTGAATGGTTTGTGACACTTTCTGATTCCTTGTCCACGCAGATATGTGTAACTTCCATCCCTATTACACTTGCAATACAGAAAAGCATCCCAATTGTATCAATATCATTATAGGTGTATCTAGAGTGCAAACATGTTCGCACCCTCTCATTACTTACAAAAATAAAATAAAATTTGGTCATGATTTGGTGCTTACAAACTCTGTAAAAGCGTAAAAACATTTTTAATTCATGAAAGTGCAGAACGATATTTTAATTCATGTTTTTACCATCCTTTTGGATATGCTGCTACTGGAAAACAAAAATATTCTCTTTTTCTGACCAAAAAGAGAGAGGGGAACAAAAGAAGATGCAAGAGTGATAGTATAGCTAAGTTACAATGTAATGTTTTAAATAAAAATAAAACAATTCCAGAACAACTATTGTGGGCAAACATAACAAAAACGTGACGTGATTTGACTTTTAAATACTCAAAATGCGTACAGATGAAATCACCCTTCTTCCATGAGGAAATATTTGTATGCTAATTTTTCTGCAGATAGAAGAAAATTACTCAGGAGTATCAGAAGAAGATGACGATTAACAAACAATGAGCGAGTGAGAAAAGATGATAAAGCATATTGAACTCGAACTATTAAAAAACTCATCATTCCCTTCAGCAGTATGATGGGTTTGTTAAGTATGCAAATAGATGTTAATTATTTAACATAAAGTAGCAAGAGACAGAATCATTTGCTTTGCCAACAACCAGAGGTGTGAAGAAAGAGGGAGAAGAACAAAATGAAACAAAAAATAGATAGGTGTGCTCAATCCGTATTTTCTTTGATGGGTCGCCATAACACCCTGAGACGTCGCCAAACAACAGACAAAGAAAATCGAAGAATGGGGAGGGTTTTGCAAAGCAAAAGAGAATCACTCTGCACTAAATTTAAACTGCAGTAAGAGGCAATTTCGAAGGCACGGGCTTATGTATATGGTAGAAAAGCAAAATGTGAACCGATAAACACAGTCACTTCTTTACTTCACATTTAAATTTTGTGGAAACTGACAAATATTGAACCAATATGAGTACCAAGTGGAATTCAAAAGGATCTCAAACCTCAATTTGTTGGATTAAATACAAACAAAACATGTCTAATATTGCAAACAAACTCTTGTTAACATTACACTTCAAAGAAAAACACTCCAAATCCAATACTTTAGAAAGAAAAAAAAAGCCCAATTGACCTTGGTAATAAGGGCCGATATTACAACTAGGAACCAATTAGAGATGACAAAGTGACAGATGAGAGATTTTTTTATCCGCTTGAGCTCTCGGAGTGTTTTTGTATAAACCTTATAGTTGTCAGGGTGTTTTTATAATTTACTAAAACAATTCAGATTATAATGCCTAATTAAGATTAGCTTTGGCTGAGTAATCACACATATTTCTTTGACATACACGGAAAAGAAAAAAAAAGTATGAAGCAAACCCATTTCACCTCAAATGGGTTAAACTGTAACAACCAGTTAACCACATTGGAAAATTGGAATATTGAGTTCTTTCTTCTCATTCCCCAGATACTTAAAACACACCAAAATCCGAAAAAAATCGTGTATTTTCCCAGCTGCATTTTCTCAGCAACCAAACAAAGATCTAAGTGAACCAAACAAGTTCAAAACACAGATTTCAAAATCTGGGTTTTCATACATAATTAGCAAAAATCAATCCAAATGCACGAAGAAACAAAACCAAAAACAGATCAAAATGAAACGACATTGCAAAAATCGATACTGCATTTCATGGACGCGCAACAAGCTATAGCATTTCGAGCAGATCGAGAGCATGAATGGACGAGAAGGTGGCAAGGGTGGTATCAACTCACAGTTTTGGTCCGAAGTCTGAAGATGTTTCGCTCTGTGCGTCCGTGAGCCTCTCTGCCTATCGAGGTGTTATGTTTTCAAAGCATAGATTCTGTTGCTTTTATATGCGCGCGCGGTGCCCCGTCGGCATTGACGCCGTTTAATTCTTTGTCTGAAATATTTTTTTATTTTTTCACTTTTTCACTTTTTCACATATGGGTAAGAATTTTAATTTTTTTACATATACAAGCGAGAGTAATAAGGGATACGAACTTGGGAGCTCGAGTGTAATTAGAATTGGAAATAAAGAAGAATGACAAATAGAAAGAGCCGCGTTTCGACTTTAAACCCTTCCTCTCAGTACAAATTTTACGTAAAAAAATGGTTACGAAGTTTTATTTATTTATTTTTTCCTCATACGTACTTTCTTTGTGTAAAAATTCATAGCTTCAATTTACTTGTAGATTAATCACTTACTTTCTTTGTGTGTGTATGTGTGTTTTTTTTTTTTTTTTTATGTTTTTGGTGGGGAGGGGGGGTTTCCTTCTCCAACTTTAGACCTTTTTCGTACAATAACAACATAAACATGCAGATTTAAGCTTAATCAAGTTGGTTAGATAAATTTGAATCCTCCTTCTCATATTCGTTTTTTGTAAGAATCGAATCTAAAATCTATCACATAAAAGTAAAAAAGAATACTAGTAGACCATAGTACTAATTAAATGGCATAATGTGATTCAAATTCGCTTTTAACGAGAATCAAACCGGTATTAGACGTGAGAGTTAGAGGCCACGACAGAGGGATTTTCAAACAATGATATTAAGAAGATGCTCATATCTTAACCAAAAAGCAATGAAATCGCAGACTTTCCATACATATGATTATTGCTTTAGGTCCCCATGGTCCTCTGATTATTCTTGCTTAACCCTTTTGAAAAAGCCCTAACACCCTCTAATTAAATTCATATAGAATTCCCTCTCTTGCTCTAAATACCCATCATGAACTCTTAAACTAGATTAACAGCTATGTCTATGTGTTCCAACTTGTTCCACTCTTTCAATATCCTACTTCTTCCAAGGTTGATGTAATGTGGTTGAATCTAACTTTCTTTCGTATTCAACTTAATTGAGATATTCCGGTTTTTTTCACATGTTGTTTATCTGAATAAGGATTTTTTTTTTTTTTTCACGTTCGTCCTTTACACGAATTAGTATATATGTTAGAGCAAATTCGAGCCAGCTATGGTTTCTTTTGAATATCCACACTGTAAACTTGATTGTGCGTACAAGATTAACAAGTAATCGTTCTGCGTTAAATTGATTTATCAAAAATTTCATAGCACCAAGGCACTCTTAATAGATTCCAAAGTTATATAACATCCGGTTCCTGCAGATATTCATTAATCTTAAATCATAGGTGTCCTCTTCTTTGAACTTGCAAATTATTGTTCCAGATTCAATTACACGTCTTTTAGTTAACTATAGTTTAGGTTTATGTATCCAACACCCAGATGGATCCACACACAAATAATAGTAAACCGATAGATCTAAATGTCTTTTAGGAAGTATACAAATCTTAATTGCACGTAGCATGGTATCCAAATTAGTCTATATCCAAGCATGGTCTCATCAATTTGAAATAATTAAATCACTTCTATTTGGGTTAATATTTGAATATTGGGCTTTACATAAGGAAAAGTCCAAAGGCGCCAAAACAAATTGAAGTTACCCGAAGCCCAACATTGAAGCCCAGAGACAAATTTAAGCCTTCTCAGCCAAGGTATAGGCCATGTGCCTATGACCGAAATGACAACTGACAGAGACCAGCTCACTACCAGCTAAAAAACACTTTCTAATGGCATAAATGTGTAATTACATGATGACTCACTGTCCTTGAGAGCCCTTGGCCAAGAATAAAGCCCATACTGTCGGGCCAAATCGCTTGTAAAAGGAGGAAGAGATAACAGAGACAATGACACTCAACCAATCAAACAAACAACATACAAACTCTACTCTCAAGCCAGATTTACATCCAAAAAACTGAAACCAACCCAAATTTAGTCCTTTTAGCAATAGTTTCCTTAGAAAAGCTATCTTTTGTCTAGTGTAAAAGCTATGCTACCCTCCCTAGTGTTGTAGTATCGATTCCCTCATGTAAAACCTATTTACCATTCATCCATTTTTAGCATAAAACCTATTTACCATTCATCCCTTTTTAGCTTAATAGATCTATCGTCTAAATGTACTTTTCAGCTTGTATTCAAAAGTTATTTCCACCTGTTTTCCACCTAAGAGTCCCATTTGTATCAAGATATGGTTAACTTAATAAACCTGCTTTCATTAAAAACGAACTGGATTTGAGGAAATGGTCTAAAAGGGCTCTGAACTCCCTTCGTTTCGAACATGCAAGATTATGAACTAAAGGTCCTTGTTTACACAGCAAGAAAAAGAACTTAATGCAGACTTAATCCATCTGTAACAATCCTTTGATAAAAAGAAGTTTGAGTAATTTTGGGCATAAGTAATCACTCAAAGCACATCTATTTCAACATCTATTATACTGAGATAACAGTGGCACACCTAGCCTTTTGTTAGTTTTGATTGCAAACCTCAAGGCCTACACCTAAGGCCTGACAAATGCACCATTCAAACTAACTGTGAACTCTCTTTGCAGCACACCAAGTAGCAAGAGCCCAACGACCGCACCCAAAGTGCCATTCATCCTTGGAGAGCTGTGCGAGAGGCTATCCACATTTGCCTTGAACATACTTTTGGCATGCCCAGTGGGATCCATTACAAAGTCTTGTATGCAAAAATAAGGAAAGAGCGAACCTTCAGGTGGAATACAAAGTACGGGCCACCCCATTGTTTACCAAGATCATACATGGCAGACCACCTAGAAGATTTCTCCTTCCTACGAGGATCGACTATTTTCGAAAGCCCGACTTCATCTAAGAAGTCAGGAGGAAAAGTGATCAACAAAGACTTGCAAGCTACCATGGTGCAAGTGTTGAAGAGTATAGAGAAGATTTCTCTGGAGACCAGAGGAGAAGTGAGCAAACTCTGTTCTCTTACAAGGAGTTTGCAAAGGAGATTAGATCTGGAGTACTCTAGCTTAAAAGATGGTTATGCTAGAGAGATAATGAGAGAGGAAAGTCTTGAGACAGAACCAGTTATTCCCCTTATTTCCTTTGCTCGAGGAAAAAAATGATAGGGGGAAGAAGAAGGTGGAACCTAGAACCAGTCAGCCAGAAGTGGAGGAGATCTTGGAAACAGATATGCCTAACCCTTTATTGTTCCCACTAGATAGTAGGGGCAAATCGGGCAAGATAAGAAAAAGTGTGGAATGAACCAATAAGTTAAGGAATCCAGTGTAAAAGTTGTGTCCACAACTGCGGGCAAACCTCCTCCTTATAGGCCACCACCACTGGCTAATAAGGAAGAATAAGCCAAATAGAGACAGCCTGAACCAAAGAAGAAGGCTTTCTCGGGCAATGAAAATAGCCCGAAATGGGGACCTCCTTACACCTCACATAGCAATGCAGTTAACCAACAACTTAGAGACGAGTTGGTTGAGCTAAGAATAATGGTGGTCCAAAATGTCTAGCCACAGGCTCGCCTGCTGTTCGAGAACACCTACCAGAAACCCTACCCTAAATACATTGATGAGCAGAACCTTTTTTCCCTTAATTTCAAGATGCCCGCATTCCAACTTTTAGTGGAGATGATTGTGATGTGTCCTCTAGAGATCACATCTTCAAGTTTTCCAACTACTGTGTGGCATTTGAAGACAATCCTAACTACAAGTTAAAGTTGTTTGGAAATTCGTTGGTCGACTTAGCATCCCAGTGGTACTCTCTTTTACCCCCTAATTCCATTGCCAATTGGGGGAAATGGAGATGGCTTTCCACAAGCAGTTTTATAGGGTGAAGCCCAAGATAACTATCAACGATCTAGTTGAGGTGAAGCAATATGAGCATGAGTCTACAGAAGATTTCATGATGAGGTTTAGAAGGACAAGAATGAGATGCCAATTCCCTATCAACCATGCCTAACTTATGTTTATTGCTCTGAAGGCATTGAGATTTCCCTTGAGAAAGAAGTTTTACGATGTGCAATTCAGTGAACTGCAGGAGTTAGTAATAGCTGCTACAAAGTATGAAAAGTTTTTAGTTAAAGAGCAGCAAATGAAACATTCATCCAAGGTGCCCCCTTTCTACAAAAGCAAAGATGCAATTCACCAGTTGGAGTTTGAATGGCCTGAGATTGGAGAAAGTGACAGAAATGTAGGAGAGGGGATGAAGTTGTGTGTGGCTGAGATGACCACTCCTTTCAAACATTTAATGGTAAAGAGCTTGATCCAGCCAGTTAAAGATAAAAAGTGATGATGAATGATGGAGGATTCATGCTTATGAAGTCTTCCAAGTACCAGGCTTATTTGTTTGATTTGACCAAGGCAGGAGAGATCTATGAGGAATTAGTGTGAGCAAGAGTAATTGTGCCCGACGACATCACAAAGATACCTAAACCAGAAGAGTTGAGAGGAAAGAAGTATTGCAAGCTTCATTACACTTTTAATCACTCCATCACCAACTGTGTACAGTTCAGGGATTGGATCCAGGACCTAATAATTAAAGGAAAGTTGTTATTGGAAAAACCCTAGGCAAATATGATGATTGATACAGATCCCTTCCCAGAGGCCCCGGTCAATATGATTAACCTCAATTGGGTTAAGAAAGGAAAAGAAAAAGCTACATGGGAAGAGAAGAAGGAAAAAAAACAAGCTATTAAGCCATCTGAAGGTACTATGAGGTTGCCCGACAAACCACAAGCATCTGTGGTTAAAGGAGTGGTGTTGTATAGCAAGTGTCAGTGTGAGTGCGAGCTAGAGGTGCCAGCATTAGGAGCAATCATTGATCAAGAGTTAATCAAAAGAAAAGAAAAAGAGGAACATGATGCCCGCAGAAATGTTATGCGGGCAACAGAAAAGGAAACTTCCAAGAATGTATTCTAAAGGTTGGGTAGAGACTTTCAACCTAAAGGCTTATCCGAGGTATTCAGAAACTATGAAGTCT